GAAACGCCGCACAAAATGAACTCAATTGTCTTTTTTTCCTTTCTCGGCGCGCACACATTCTAGCAACTCTGCCATCTGTTGACTTTTGAGGAAAGTCCGAAAGGACGCAAGGGCTGCCCCCTTTCTCTTTCCTCCGTGTCATCATTTTCAGTGTGCGTAGTCGGTTGTCCAACACAGGGACGTAACGCACATAAGACGTGGTCGTTGGTACTTCTGAGACCTATCGCCTTTTTTCTGCTTTCTAAGAAAGTTCTGATTTCAAAGGACAGCATGGCCTCTTAGGGCTGTCGATGCCAACCTCACCCCCATCCCGCTCGGGTGAAACAGGTTTACCTCCTAGTCGCTTTGGGTCTCGCTGAACTCCCACCAGAAATCTGTGCTCGGAAGGCATCATGGGCACGGCATGCAAATGAAGGGAACTGTGGACACACTTATCGCGAGAAAAGCCTCTGCTCACGCACATGCGCCTTGTCCCATCAGGTTTCTGCTAGGCAGTGGTACTGGCACCAGTGAGCTAGGGCTCTTTCTCATCTTGGCCATGCTCTTGGCCATGTCCCAAGGGCAAGTAACCCACTGCTCTCAGAGTTCTCTTGTCACTGCAAAACAAAAATGGTTCCAACAACTACCTCATAAGGTTATTATGAGGAATAACTGGAAGAATACACATAAAGCTCTTAGCCCAAGGCTTGGCCCAGAGTAAGTACTTGGTAAGGGTTAGCTAGCCTATGGTGTGGTGGTCACTGTCTTTGGATGTATATGCAGTTCCATTTATTTGAAAATCTTTATCCCTTCAAAGAGGATAATGAAGAAACCTGCTGAAGATCCACCTTAAAAGAGATAGGAACTGCCCAGTGGTGCCATAGCTTGAGGTTTAACCACGAACCCCATGGCACCCTTCCCATTACCACTGTTAACTCAGTTAAGAAAAGCCTTGAATAAAAAAATAAATGGAAAAGCTCCTTTTGAGTGGCATATGTAGAAGAGACTAAGAGAAGCCTTCTCTAGGAGTATGTGTGTCTTTATGAAAAGCAGCTAGTGGATTGATCTTTAGCAAAGGAGCCTGGGGTCATATATGTGTGTGTGTGTGTGTGTGTGTGTGTGTGTGTGTGTGTGTGTGTATTTAGACACTTCCTCCCAGGTTACTGCCCATCTTATGAATTCACTAAACCAGAGTCACTCGAAGTGGGGTCCCCAGACGTCTGAATCACAATCATAAATGCAGAATTCTGGATCCAATGCCAGACCTTTGAACTGAAATCCCTGGGGAAGTTGACCCAAGTTTGAGAACTTCTGTGGGAGCCTAAGAGCTGGGAAGAAAGAGACATTTTCTTTTTTCTTTTCTTTCCTCTCCAGCACTGGGCAGACCTGCCAACCTTTGTTGAATGCTGGAGAAATGACTAAATCCAAAGCGAGAGGCTAAAGGATTTCTCCCCATCTGAGGATCCTAGAGATGGTTCTACTCGGGCCTGATATTTAGTAGGTAAGCACTGGTAAGGCTGTAAATTTGTTAAAATATTAAAACTATTTTAACGGGGTTAGTAAATACCTACTGCTTTGACTTCTGTGCTGTCCACTGGCCCAGCTGCCAGGCCTCTCCCTTGAACTGCCCCATGATCCAGGGGTTAATAAAAGCAGGGGTTTTTGCCTGTTGTCATTAGTCAATGGAGTAGCCAGTCAGCCCCTCGTAGGTCCAACTGACGTGTTACCTTGTGGGCCACTAGGGCCCTGCCTGTTCACCTACCCTGTGGAAGAGGGTGGGATAGGGTGGGGAGGATCCTGGGTGGGTGGTACAGTCTGTTTACTTTGACTCTGGTGTAAGAGTCCCAGTCACTGCATGTCCCCCAGGCCATATTGGGTAGAGTCCTACTGGATGAAATGACATTTCTGGAGCTGGTGCTGGCACCTTAGCTAGTAAATGCCCAAGGTTATGGCTACCACCAGCTGTGGCCCTCCTAGAGATGCTCTTGCATGGCTGCTTCTGGGAATTGCAGCCTCCATGGCACTGTCTCTGAGAGATCCTGGAAGAGCCTGGGTGAGCATGAGGCATGCAGGAATTCCAGCCCACAAACATCTGGGCTCTGTTGGCATAGTTTGACAGATGACAGTCTCCTTGGTACAGATGGTGCATGCAGGGGTTAGTGTGGGGCTGGGAGAATAGGTTCTCTTTACATTTATTTGGTCACGTTTGCTAAAATCACTGAATGCCTTCCTATCATGGCATTAGCCACATTACTCTCATTAATAAAAATGCAGGCAAGTACTTACGTAATATTTGTCTTGTGCCAACCACATGTCTTAACTCAGTTGAGTCACTAGAATTATCACTACTATCTCCATTACATAGATGAAAAGACTGAGGTTATTTAAAACTCAAATAGCAGAGCCATGATTTAAACTCAGGCAGCCTGACATTAGAGTCCACATTAGTAAATACTACCTTTCTTCTCAATTTATACTAAAAAAAATTTTTTTAATGTATATGACTTAGTTGGTAATAGAGATCTGGAATATGTAAAAAATTGTCTGTAATGCAATGGTTAGAAACATTCTGAATGAAATTGCTTTCAGTTCAGCAGAAGCTGAGAAAGGAGTAAGCACCATGAACAATATTGCTGTTATTAAGAGAAATTATCTACCTATTGAGGCTCTTGGTAATCTAATGATTATCGAGTAATTGGAGAAGTCATTGGCAAAGTTCCACATGTATGCCTATGTCAACCATGGCTCAGACAGGGGCATTGTTTACTTAGTGACATGATGTCAAACAAAAGGTCAGCGATAATTTTTAAAGATGAACAAATGATTTGGATACTATTAGAAATTGATGAACGACTTGCATTAAAACTCATATCTATATGCTTCTGTTTAGAGAATACTGGGGATTCAGTGTTTTAAATTTACACGTTGCTTAACTACTTCCAGGTTTTTAAATATTTTGATGATCACCTCAGCTTTGCTTATTCTGTTTTCTACTCTATTCCTTTGGTCTGACCCGTCAGAAAAAAATATAAGCTCTCAAACTGAGCTCTGATCTGTCAAGCTGTAAAAACCCTTTTCTGCCTCAAGTTTGCTCCTCCTCTGGCTCACACCCTTTCTTTGAGGGAGAAGGAGGTAAATACCTCCTTTAGGTGGAAAAGGCTGTCCTGCTAATCAAGGGAGAATGTGAGCAAAGAGGCTGTTCTTCAGTAAGCTATTGCTTCCGTCTGTAAACCCAGGTAATTGAGCTGTCATATTTAAAGTTTTATTGGTGAAGATTCAAGTTAGGACTGGAACCCTTCTTTTGCAAGTTTCTTCAGGGCTACGTGTAGAAAAGAACAAATAGAAAACTCAGCGGTGAGTTCTGAATAAGACTGTGAGAAATGAAAAGTCGTCAGTGCCCAGGGTCCCCAGAACACTGAAGGGAAGGGAATTGTTTAAACCCTTAAAAACAGGAAGGAAGTACAAAGCTCTTCCATTTAGTATGTCAGACCAGCTCAGAAGTATGTAACGATCCAGGCAAAGCTTTACAATGTCTAGCCAGTCCAGTCATGATTCTCTGGCAAACTGCACAGTCATGGTTATGACGCATTCGGATGAGAGGTGCTATATAAATGTCATATGCTATATAAATGTCAGGAATAATTATTGTTTATTAATGGGGGCTAAACGGTTCCTAAGCAAAGCTCCAACTCTTAGCCAACACATCCTTAGCAGAGGTTCTAACCATTAGTAACCCAAGAGAAGGGAATGCTTGGTTCTAGAAATGAGTCCAGTTGAGGTTCGGGGTTTAAAAACAGGGGTTGGGGTGGTGCCAGTGCCACCAATTGCTCAAGTGACTTCAGGCCAGCCCCCTCACCTTCTGGAGTCTGCCTTTGCTCACCTGTAAAATGGGGATAATTATAACACCTGCCCTACTTCTTGGCTGGGTTGTGGTGAGAATCCAGGAAGTTCACGTGGGCATGAGTGCTCTGTGAAGGGCGAGCTGCTGCAAAGATGACAGCAGTCATCTAGAATCAGTTGGAATTTAGCCTTCCCTTTGAGTCAGCCTCACAGGGAGAGAACATCTGAGTGGAAATTAAGCTGGAGATGGTGATGGTGACTGGCGGATGTTGAAAATGCCAGGTTCCTCCTCTCAGGGAGTTGTCAGGAGGATACTGCAGACCAGGCGCCCGGATCCTGCCTTCTGGCTCTGGCTCTGCCACTTGCCAGCCTGTGAGCTTGGGCGAGTTACAGGCTAAGGCTCTGGAAGGGTTCGCCAAGGGTCCTTCCGGCTCTGACGCTGAGTCTAAATCAGGCTCATCACTTGGCTCTAGCTGTGATTCACCTTTCTCTTCCAGGAGCAACTCTACCTCCAGCTTCTCAGAAGCACGAAGCAGGGGTCTTGGAAAAGGGCAGGGGTCTGTGTATTCCTTGTGAGCGTACACAATAAAGTGATACCCTTGGTGGTGAGGTGGGGTGGGGGCCGGTTAAATGAGGTGTAGGGTGAGTGCCCAGAGAAGCCGAAATGCAGGGAACGTTGTAATGAGGTCACGACTGTCGCAGGCGAAAAGGAGCTGGACATCTGCTGGTGGGGGAAGGGAGGAGTGTCCTGCATTTCTGTTTGCAGAAAGTCTCTTCCCGCACCTTTCAGGAAACCCCTTCCCACTTTTCCTCTCCCCGCATTCCCACACCTTTCAAATGCTACCATGCCCTCCTCGCCGGAGAACCCGTGTCCGTGCCTCCTCCGTGGTCCTGTCTGAAACCCTGAGGATTGTTTCCCAGCTGACTCACACCACTAATGTCAGGGAGCCGTGTCACACGGCGCTGGGCTCTGCAAGCTGTTGCTTGCGCGGTCGCCGCTGCTGCCGCGGCTCCCAGGCGGGTGCACCAGGGTCCGCTCGTAGGCGGGGCTGGGGCGGGGCTGGGGCGGGGTCCGCCCCCTCGGCGCGCCGGCCCCGCCCCTCGCTCCCTCCCCCGCGGACCGCAATGATTTAGAAGTTCAGGAATCCCACGTGACGTCACGGGGGGGTGATGTAATGCACTCTAAATAGAATGTATTGTAATCTTTGCTCAGTCCAACGTGGTCCCTTCACCCGGGCTCCGCTCTTGTCTTCTCCACACTTGTTTGGTAAGTTCCTAAAAATACTGCTCGGCCACTTCTGGGGCTTTTGCATTTAGCCACTTTTGTTGCACTTGCCGAGGGAGCCATCTCGGGAGCGTACTTGTTTGCAGGGGTTGGTTCTCGGCAGCAGCCGCGAGGTTACTTGGTCCAGTGGGCAGGTCACAGGGCAAGGAGTAGGGAAGATGCGATGCATTTTTTTTTTTTGGAGGGTGATCTGTGTTTGTAAACACTTTGGCGGACCAGAGGGAAGTCTGACCCTAAATGCTGTTGGACTGTGGAATTCTGCTGTGTCCTGAGGCTACCCCAGAGACCCCACGGCGTGTCCGTCCGGAGCGCGTCCCGGTGGCCACCGCACCGTGCCACTGGAGGGATGCTAACGTGGAGTGAGCTTTGTGTCCGCCCGGCGTGCGTGCGTGTGTGGGAGCGCGCGTGTGTTTCCCTGACACGGGGAACAGTTATGAATCGGGGGTGTGTGTTTGCCTCCAGAGACCTGGCAAGGTGCGGAAGCCTCCAGAAGTGCGGTCAAGCGGTGGCAGCGGCGGCGGCAGCGGAGACGGCGAGCCAGGAACCTCTCCCCGCGTCCCCAACTTCCCGGTGATGCGGCGGAACCCCCGGAGAAAGTTTGCAAACTTCCAGCGGGCGCGTCGAGGACGCCGGGTCACCTGTGGGCGGGCGGGCGCGCGGGGGGCTCGCTCCCTCCGGGGTGCCGAGCCTGCTGCTGCCACCTCTCCCGCACGGCTGCCGGCCGCAGCTGGTGGGCGCAAGCGCCCGGGCAGGGGACGTCACCCTTGGAGGGCACTGGCTTTCGCTCCAGGCGCGGAAGGCTTGAGAGTGGCGAGGCTCTGCTCGCGTTCACGCCTCCAGCCACCTCCTGCCTCCGTCCGGTGCTCGCTGGCATCAGAACCTCTTCCCCGCCGCTGCCCCAAATGACAGCTCCCGCTTTTGCCGCGGCGGCGGCGCAGCGGCCGATCTTCGGAGGCGGCGGAGGAGCCTTCCTCTACGACAGATTCTCCACGGAACCGCTTAAACTTTTCACAAAGTTCTTAGAGGGGCCAGACACGCGCAGGAACCTAGGAGATGTTTTCTCCCGGCGGCTGCATCCCGCCGCTGCTTTGCCATAGAGTTATTTCCCGGCGGCGGGCGGGGCGGGGGGCGGG